CCAGTCCAGTTCCCAGTCCAGTCTAGTCCAGTCCAGTCCAGTCCAGTCCAGTCCAGTCCAGTCCAGTCCAGTCTAGTCCAGTCCAGTTTCCAGTCCAGTCCAGTCCAGTTTCCAGTCCTCGTCTCACTCTGATGGACTGGGTTAGACCCAATCTATTCAGGAAGTCCAAGTAGGTCAAACTGGGCTTTGAACCCGTGACCTTCTTGCTGAGAGAAACCCACTCACACACACGGCCCCTGTGCCTCCGTCTGACTCCCCAGGAGTGAGAGGAGTTTGGAGAAGCGTTAGCCTCGGCTCAGTGGGTTTGTTAGCGGTCAGGTCACCGGTCACCGAGGTGAACCCTGTTGGACCTGGAGCTGCGGTCTATAAATCATCAGGACCAATCAGGGCTCACGCAGGTAAACAACTGGAGATGGAGCACAGCTTCCTCCTCCACCTCCTCCTCCTCCTCCTCCTCGTCATCATCGTTGTTGTTGTTTCCATTTCACTCCGAACTCGGCCGGACATCAGTTTTGGTCAGAGCCGCGGTGAAGCAGAAGAAAAGGAACGCCGGGGCTGAAATATCAACTTCCTCCTAAATAATGTCAGCCGTGGGTTTAATCTCCCACCGCCAGCGACCTTTGACCCCGGGACCCGCTCCCTGCTTCAATAATTCATCCACACAGACACAGACGGTGGTCAGTGCTCACCTGTTGTGCTGAGGCTGGTGGTGACCTGGGACAGAGCCTGGCTGGAGATCTGCAGGAGGAGCAGGAGGAGGAGCAGGAGGATCAGGAGGAGGAGCAGGAGGAGCAGGAGGAGGAGCAGGACGAGCAGGAGGAGCAGGAGGAGCAGGAGGAGGAGCAGGAGGATCAGGAGGAGGAGCAGGAGGAGCAGGAGGAGGAGCAGGACGAGCAGGAGGAGCAGGAGGAGCAGGAGGAGGAGTTAGGAGGAACCACCACAGGATAAAGACAAAAAAAAAAAACATGTTGTAAATGTTCCACCCTACCATGTGGGGGCTGTAGCAGGGGGCTTTGTGCGTGACCACGGGTGAAGTCTGGCTGGGCAGGGGGGGGGTGGTGCTGCTGGACGGGTTGATGCGTTTCTCCTTCTGCCGGCGGTTGCAGAACCAAACGCGGATCACCTCCTTCTCCATGTTGAGCTGCTCCGCCATCAGGAGGATCTCCTCAGAGGTAGGCTTCTGGTTCTGGAGGAGGAGACGGAGGAGTTTAGTTTTTGACCTTTGACCTTGTGGTCAGAGAAGACGACTCTCCGCCTCGCTGCGTCTCACCGTGTGGAAGTTGCGCTCGAGAACTAGTCGCACGTTGGTCTCGATGCTGGTGCGTTTCTTCCGGCGTCGGCCCGGCAGACCCTCCAGGGCGTGCATCGGCGAGGAGATGGAGGAGGGGCTGGGCAGCATGCTGTCCACCGCCATGGTCTCTGTGGCACACACGGACCAATTAAAAACACATAAAACAAACAGGTGAGAGTGGGCGCGGTCCACGCCTCCTCCTCCTCCTCTTCCTCTCACCTGCGTCACTCAGCCACTTCTCCAGCAGGGGCTTCAGTTTGCACATGTTCTTAAAGCTGAGGTTCAGGGCCTCGAAACGGGAGATGGTCGTCTGGCTGAAGTCGTTACCGTACAGCTTCCCCATGGCAACGCCCACGTCTCCCTGATGGAAAAACACACACACAGTGTCACACTCACACACTTACACACACACACCTACACCTACCCACACACACGCGCTGCGTGTCGTACCTGCGTGAAGCCCAGTTTGATGCGTCGTTGTTTGAAGGTGCGGGCGAACTGCTCCAGCTCCTCCAGGTCACTGGGCTCCTCGCCCAGGTGACCCCCGTGACCTCCAGAGGTCAGGCCGGAGCTCAGGGAGGGCGCCATGGCACTGCCGGAGGCGGAGGTGGCGCCACCTACGGATGTCACGACGCCAACGCCGCCGCTGCTGCCGCCAGAGCCGACCAAAGATCCAGAGACTGAACCGGTGCTGCTGCCCCCCCCACCGGCCCCCACCTCACTGCTCTTCTCTCTCTGCAACAACACACACACAATAATAATAATAAAATAATAAAATAATAAATAAAAATAAAATATAAAAATAAAATAAAATAAAATAAAATAAAATAAAATAAAATAAAATAAAATAAAATAAAATAAAATATAAAATTCACGTCATCAAATCCATGTAATTAAAATTTAAATTATAAACGTACACACACCCACGTGATTTTATTTTAAATAATGAAGGAAATTGTCTAATGAACCAGGACCTTCAGAACCAGGACAAGCAGCACCTCAGCACGTCCTCTAGGGGCAGTATAGCCCCTGATGAAAACCACTACCTTTGTTTGTAGGGATGCAGTTCAAATCCAGAGACCTGGAGTCAGAGTCCCTGAACCAAACCCCTGACCTTTATCTGCTGGTTCTGCTCCAGGTCCTGATCCTTAATAGATGCCGAGGGTTCTGTCAAGAACGACCCCAGGGGTCAAATATCTGACCCCTGAACGGGAGCAGCAGCTGAAGACCTCTCGTCTCTCTTTTTTTTGTTTTTTTCTTCCCCAGTCTTAAACTCGTAGCCAACTTTAAAAAATCGACTCTCTCTCTGGACTTGTTTGAGACAGAACGTCCACGAAGACGGTTCTGTCCGTCAGTCCGACCCGGACATAGAACACCTGCAGGGGGAGCTGCTGATGTATAGAAGCTCATTAAAAATGTATGTTCTCTCTGCTGGAGTTTGAAAAGCTGCGCTGAGTGAATACATATGAGGCCATCAGCCTGGAGGACACACACACACACACACACACACACAGGTGTGTGTGTGTGTGTGTGTGGACATTATTCTAAACAGCAGCCATCGATTCACGCTTTAATATTTAACCGTGAAGCCGGGACGCAACCCCAGCAGCCGCCGGAGCCGAGGCTAATTCAGGCGTCATCATGCACGGACGGATCCTGATCAACATTCACGCCGCCTCCATGTTTATATGAACACAAAGAGAGGAAGTCTGCCTCCTGTTGGCCACCCCGTCCATCAGCGGACTAATGAAGAAATCCATGATGAGCTGCACACGAGTGAGGACGAATCTGAACATCAGGTTACCAGAGATGAAGGTGGAGGAGAGCGGCAGAGCTGCTGCATCTGAACTCATCATCCTGAGGGTGGATCAAACCCTGGTCCAGGGGGAGGAGGAGGACCTTTGCTCTTCCTTACGGCTACACAGAACAGTCTACGTCACATGACCTCACGACATCACCTTCCACAGCCTCAGTTATCGTCTCTGCTCGTCCCTAGCGTGTTAGCGGCTGGCAAACAGCTAGCATGCGCACGTGCTTTGTTAATGACGTAGCGTGTTGCGACGTGTTAGCAGCTCGTGGCATTTAAACACCAGGTTAGCACCGCGCTAGGAGAACTTGGAGCACACGGTCACAGAGGGAGGTCTCACCTGTGCTTGGAGGCCCAGGCGGGGGGGTGTGGTCAGGAGGCCACCTGGGCTTTGCTGAGGTAGCTGGATCAGATTTGATGCGGAGAGCAAAGCTGTGGAATTAAAGAAAAAAAACAGAGACAAATTTAAAAGACGTCACAGAGAGAGAGAGAGGTGTCGGCTGAACCAAAACAAAACCAAACTAAGATAAGATAAACTAAATTAAACTACACCAAACCAAACCAAACTAAACTAAACTAAACTAAACTAAACCAAACTAAACTACACCAAACTGAACTAAACTAAACTAACTCAGCTAAACTAAATTTAAATAAATCAAAACAAAACAACAAACTAAGCTAAGCGAAACTAAACTAAACTAAAC